AGCACACCAGAAACCACCAACTTAGACTACTTGTTCTGGCAAAAGAGGTCACGTTTATCCTGAGATATTTCTGACCCTTTGTGCCTCCAGCATTTAAAGGGGGTGAGTACTATGAAGGAAATCTTCACTGCAATGGGTGGCAACGTTCATCCTTGCTGTGCAATATGCATATGGGTTCACCATAATGTGAATATAAAAACTTGGACTTTATCACCCAGACTTATTACTGACTACCTACTTTTCCCTTTTATTGCCTGTTTGTTGTCAATATATGCTGTCGGTTCATGTGTTAATGTTAAATGTTTAATCCCTTTCAAAATGTGCTTTCCTCTTTTTTAAATGTTAAAATGAAGTTGGTTTTAACTATTAGCTGAAGTTTGTGCCTTTCTGCTGACCTTCTGATAAAATCTAATGATGATAAACTATCACCATAACATGATAACAAAGCAAAATATTTGCCCAACTTTTAGAAAATATGACACTACATTCTCTTAGAGATTCTATAGATATAAATTTTTGGTACAACTCTGATATACGCCCTAATTTCACCAAATGTGGCGATATGTGTTCTGCGCTGGTTTTTGGCGCGACTACGTGTTGTATGGCAACCCTGTTGACGTTGAAAAGTCTTTCACTGGAGTTTGTTGGTTCCCGTCATGCTTTGTGTCTGAGAAGCTAGGGGGGAAAGATTTAATGGTGAAAGTTGTTGAGTTGAAGTTCGGCATAAGGAAATATTGTCGTGGTCATCCTGTTGAGGGGCAATGGGTATTTGGAGGTGTGGAAAGAAGGTATGGGAGATTATTTTTAGTGTTTGTGCGTGATAGAAGTAGGGATTTGTGATTATTTGTTATTTTATTTATTTGTGAACCATAGTATGAATTTCTGGATAGTGTGTCTGGCTGTCATATAAATACGATACTAGTGATTACGTGGCGGCATGTTAAAGGCGGTATGAAATTGGTATATCTGCTCTTCGAAAAAGCATCAATGGTAAGTGCATTTTATTTTATTCTTGTTCTTATTTTGTAGAATGTAATGTTCATTGTTTTTTTTTAGTATGAATTTCTGACGTTATTGTTGTTTTTTTGAATTGTTTGAAATTTATTTTAGTTATTTTGTTGATTAGTGCGTACCCATCTGAATTGTGCAATTCGTAGATGTTTTTTAAAGTTGAAACAGAACGCTGTGTACATGGTATTCTTTGAAATTTATTGTTGTTATGTTAATTTATTAAAGTGAGGTGCGCGTAGTTCGTAAATTCGTTTGTTGCCTAAATTGTGCAATTCGTAGATGATTTTTAAATTAAAACATATCGCTGTGTACATGGATTCTTGGAAAATAATTTTGGTTAGAAACTTCACGGTTTTGCTATCTAAATTTTTTGTTTTTGTTTCGGATTGTGGTTTTTGCATTCGCGAAAACCGTGTTTTTGGAGACATTTTAGGCTTAAAGTTCGAAATGTAGACAAAAAATTTAGATAGCAATATGGCAGGGTGGAGTTTCTCACCAAAAATATTTGGCGAGAAATTTGGCGCCTTGAGGGCGCATATCAGAGTAGTTCCAAATTTTTATGTAAAACAGCTTACAGAGAAACAAAGGAAAGGTCAATAAGAAAATAAATGTTTTTCAGTTTATTTACATTCAATCGTAAAGTGACTTATCTAGAAATTTGTCTCAGAATGTGTTATTTTGCTAATGCAAAGTCTTTAAAGTTATCAAGATAACTTTACAATTCAATTACAAAGTTGCAATAAACGAAACTACACCACTGCTGAATTTTTGGATATGCACATCATTTTTGGGAAAGTTCTAGAATGTACCGATTAAAACAGTCAATGACAAACACTTCAATCACTTCATATGAAATAGTAATGGCACGAGCACAAGTGATATTTGACATTTATCTGAAGTATTCCAAGAACTCTTTTAATGGAGACAGATAAATGTTTACATTAGGATGGCTGATATTTCAGGTAGACTATATTTTAGGGTGCTCCTTGAGTTATCGGCAAGTTGTTGTTTCATTTATGGTAACCTGAGTAGTTGAATGTTATGGAAACCTTATTATGAGGTGGTTGCGGTGAATTTGACTGACGGGAAAATATTTGTAAGGGCTTATTTCTGCACTAGATGTCAGTTAGGTAGTGCGTTGCTTATTTTGTGCTGTACGCTGTAAAATGGCAGTATGTGAGGAGATTAATGTGAAGTTTCTGTATGATATGGAACAAAAGGGGGAGAAAGTATTAATTGACTGGTGTGTAAATGAAGATTTACTTAGTAGTCCTTATAAGTGTACTATTTGTAAAAAGGAAAAGCACATGTGTACATGAACAAAGTTACGGGAATACGCAATACCAAGTTTGTGCAATTATCTGATGTTTTGTTAAATGGAAATAGATCACTGTGAACATGGACACTGAGTTTGTGCAATTCTTTGACTTGTTATTTTTATTTTGTGCAGCGGCCGTCTTGAAATTGTGCCTTGTTGGCTAATCACCAATTTTCGCCAAGGGGCACCCTAAAATATATTTTTATCGATATTTTAACACATTTGCTTATGAAGCTGCCATACAAATTCATATCATTCTCAATATCAATAAATCTTTTACTATGACAACTCAATTATAATATTTTTTGCCTTTCAAATGTTAATTAGAAGAAGAAAAAAGAATAAGTCAGCTAATATTCAGCAATTAATTTCTGAAATAAAATCTGATACTTTTGTATTTTTATATGAAGGAAAAAGACAAATTTGGTGTCATAAAACTTCAGGCTTTCACATCTTGATCATGAAGCACATTTAAGGGAAAAAAGTAAACAATTTTGCTATTGCAATAATGCTGCTCATCACTTCACAATAGTTGTTATGCTGATTACAAAACACTTGTATACAGCAGTTATAGTTACTATACTTGCATGACTACATATAACAGTTACAAGAGCAGATATTTGAAAAATGATTCATTTTGAATTAGTTGTGTCTTGCATTAAATATTTTTTATTAGTATATAAAAATTCAAATGCATTTCTTTTCCTATCAAAAAAGGGTGAAAGGCTTTTAACCATATGTGTTATTCTTGCATATTTTTAATTTATCAAAAAATTGTTGCTTTAACAGAAAGAAATGTCAGACACTTTTCATGCCTGTTTAATCTGTTCAAAATAACAAAAAATTGAACATTAAAATTTTTTAATTTGAAAAAATAAAAGTTACTAATTTGACAAAATAAAAGGACAAAATTTCTTAGCATAGACATTTTTTTTGGAAGATTTTGAAATTATATTAATTTTACCCAAACATGTCTAGAGAATTTTAAGAAAAATATCATCAAAAAATTTTCTGTTGATAATGCAAAAAAAAAAAAAAAAAAAAAAAAAAAAAAAAAAGACTATTGGGGGAGGAAATTCCACTAAAATAAAATTTGGTACTACATGTATAATTTATGCAGTAATCTAAATTTAATTATACGAGGATTGGAACTTTAATAGTGGCAACTATTTATTTACAAGGAATACAAAAGTGATTCATGTCACAATGTTTTACAGTCTTTCAATATAGTCGCCAGCATTGTGTACAACCCGTTTCTAACGATGTGGAAGTCGCAGAATACCTGTAGCAGCGCCTGTTTTGTTGATAGTTTGAATGGACCAGTCTACTGCCACAAGAATCTCAGGAACAGTTTGGAAGCGAGTGCCACGAAGTGGTTCCTTCATCTTAGGAATTAAGTCATAGTCACAAGGGCTTAGATCTGGGGAGTATGGTGGATGGTAAAGCACTTCCCAGCCCCATCGCTTGAACAAATCAGTCACAGCTTGCACTGCATGCGGCCGAGCATTGTCATGCAAAATGAGAGGAGCATTCTGCAGAATGTGTCGCTGTTTTTTTTCTCAAAGCTGGTCGGAGATTGTGCTCCAAAAATGAGCAGTAATACTGCGCAGTGACAGTCTGCTGTGGGGGAACGGTATGCGTTAGGATAACACCATCACAGTCGTACACGAGAATCACCATAACTTTCACATTGCTGGGGTTCTGACGAAATTTTGAACGTCGTGGTGACCCGTGATGATGCCATTCGTTTGATTGGCCTTTCAGTTCTGGCTGGTACGATCGGGCCCAAGTCTCATCCAGCGTAATGATACGGCGTAAAAAAGCATCTCCTTTGCGCTCATAGCGCTCCAGGTGGGTTCGGGCAGCATCGTATCGTAGCCATTTCTGCATTTCCGTCAACTGATGTGGAACCCATCGTGAAGCAATTTTTCTCATGGATAGGCATTCCTTCAGAATGTGCAGCAGTCGTATGCGCTAATCCTGTTTGTCCGGCCAGCTGACGAATCGTTTGGAGGCGATCACTGTCCATTAGTGCAGCAACAGCTTGCACGTCTGCATCGCTGACACTCGGATGACCTGGCTGCAGCATGTCTGCCACGTTTTGGTGCCCTTCATTGAATGCTTTCACCTATCTTGCTACGGTTCTGTAAGGCAATGCAGATTCCCCGCAAGCCTCTTGAAGCCCTTGATGACACTGTTGTGCTGTATGACCTCTGGCACATTCAATTTTTATCCAACATCGTTGTTCTTGTTTTGAAAACATCCTGACAACACTTACTTTAGACCGCGAGCTAATACAAGGATCCGTTCTTCGCGTCACTCCTAATGCATGTGACGTAGGCAGGACGAGTCTTTTTGCTGAGAGGTAAGGTAGGTATGTAGTTAACGTGTGGTATACGCGATATTCTTTGGTTTTGTTCCGTAGCTTTTTTTCAGCTGTGCTGCCACTATTAAAGTTCCAACCCTCGTATAATAAATATTACACTTAACTAATAATGGTAATTTTAATATATAAGTAAACTATAATTAAAACATAGACCTGTCAGCAGCTTAATACAAAAAAGTGATAGTTGTGACATAGATAATTTGTTTAAAATTTCCATAAAAAATTAATTAATAAGTACCTCCAAATATCTATAAGTAAACACAAAAGCTTGAAAAAGTTACTTACCCATTCTCTGAAATTTTAGTTAAATCATATGATACACGATCACCACCAATTAGCAAAATACTAGAAAATTCTGGAATATGCTTTAAAAATAAATTTGTCACCTCTGCTGTTTGTAAAGCAAGTTCTCGAGTAGGAGAAATGATTAAGGCTGCGACCTACAATGAAAAATATCTGACAGTGAGTATAAATACATATTTAATAATATACATTAAAATAAAAATTCCAGGACAAGCTTCACAAACACATTTAATCCAACAAGCAGAGAGATTTTAATATATTAATCATATCATATGTGATGGGAAATTAATAGTAACCCTTTCTGCATCAATGATGCCCATGTGCATGTTTTGATAAGTTGTAACAATAATACCATGGTATGTTCAAAAATCATACGCCTTGCCTAGTTTTAAGGACCACAAGAACTGATCTGTGGTATAATGCAGCATAAGGTTTTTTTAGTTTACTCATTTGATGACAGCATTAATAAAAATCTTCATATTATGATTCCACTGATATTCCAAAGAAAAAATACAAGAAATATTAAATACTGTCTTAATCTAATTCCCCTAACAGAAAAAAAAAAATAAGAGGCACACCCCCTAAAAAAAAAAGTTGCCACCTTATTAACAACTTTGTAAATTGTGGGGGGGAGGGATTTTTTTTTACATGTTTGCCTGTCTTTATATCTCACTGGTACCTGTTCTGTTCTTAAATAATAATAAAAAGAAATATCTTATACAGTCAAAAGTCGTTAATTTGGACACCCATAATCCGGAATGATCTATAATCCGGACCTCAAAGCTACAAACTTTCTGAGCATGCGTAGCGTTGACGCATGCGCATAGGCGTTTACGCGTGCACGTAAGACCTTTACGGCTGTGAATATGCATGTGCGCAAGTGCATAATACATTTACGCATGCGCGTTTAATGTATTATGCATGTGCGCAAGTGCATAATACATTTACGCATGCGCGTTTAATGTATAACGGATGGTATAAGCTAAGCTAAAATTATCTAATTCAGTTAATGTTGCAGATTGCGTTGTTTCTTAATCTTCTAATTGGATCTGGCTTATTATTTTTTGCAGACTGTTAGAGCAATTTTATAAAAGTAAGCTTGAACTTTCGATTATGTCAAATAGAATTTCCGATATATATTTACTAATATGTAAAGGATCTACAAAGCGAAAGTATGCTTTGAAATCCGAAATCTGTTTATCAATTTCACGCTGCTCTGCGGCAAGGGGGGAGAGAAAGGCTGCAGCGCGCAATGAATTCGAAGTTGATCTGTCAGCACTATCCTTATCTTCAGGGCAGATGTTTTTATTTTTATTTGGCTTATAATTCCTTACTAAATGTAGTATTTCATCTCGATGTACTCCGTCTTTGATATGATTTAAATCAAGTTCCTTGTCATTATAATTCGCTAGTGAAGAAAGTGACAGAGAGGTTATTGAAAACGAAAACATTTCGATTGACAAATTAGTCGGTATTCTAGACACAGCAATTTATAGGACTTGAACAGCGGAACTTTGTAACTAAACAAGAAATTATGTCTGTTTAATAGAATTAAAGAGAAAGTATTATCACATGAAACGAAGCAACTTAAACAACTTACATTGAAAGAAATGTTTAATAAAGTAAACAAATATATATTAAGCTTTATCTTTTTGTAAATTTTGATACCCTTTAGATCATAATTGTTCTTTATTTCATAAATTACGGTTCATATTTTTAATTTTGTAATTTCTGCATGCCATCTTACCAGATTTAAACTGCTGATCTATAATTCGGAAAAATTGATAATCCATAATCGCCGAAGTCCCGACGAGTCCGGATTAACGACTTTTGACTGTACGAAGAAAGAAATTTTATGAGAAAGAACAAAATGCACTTTGGAAAAACACACATCAGAAATTTTTTTAAATATAAAGCCTGTAAGTGTACATGTATTTAGACATATATATGGTAATTATATACATGGCTTGACTTTTGTCATACGTCTAATTAATAATAAAACAAGAATGCATCAGTTTTATTGAATGTTAAAACCAGGGTGCGAAGAGTCGGAAAAATCACCACCTTTCCCCCAAAAGAAAACCACATTAACAGATATGAAGCACGGAATGAAAATAAAATATGGAAGGATGTGAGAAAAATATGCATTGGTTGCCAAAAACTCCTGCATTTTACAGTATTATCAAACATGTCTTTGAAAAATACATACAAACAATTAACAAAAAGATAGTTATAAATTAAAATGTTACATAATATCCAGCACTCTATAAGTATTTAAATATAAAAAGTACTCAAATAAATTCACTGAATGAAATCTTATTTCCTGCTATTAATGCATACCAAATATAAATCAAGTATTCCCCGCTCCCCATTCGTGGCACTTAGCCAACTTAGGCTTGGCCACTACTAAGGTCAGAAGCGGTGGCCACTTTATTGTAAAAGCACCTAATTGGTGGGCTACCATTACTATCTATCAAGGGATGGTCAATTAAAACCATGCTTTCTCTAGGATTTGAACCCAGGCTCTTCGGTATCGTAGTAAGCTTTCCCGCCCACTATAACGTTTGGGTGGCCAATAGACCTAGTACAGAAGGGGTTAATGAACATAATAACAAACTGAGCACAAATACAATAATGTAGCATTAAATAAAAATATAGCAATTACATCATGTTTCTTGAAAGGTGCACATCTCTGTAAAATTTCAAATATTGGAATAAGAAATGCCAGTGTTTTCCCACTTCCTGTAACTGCCTCAACCACAACATCCTTTTTCTTAGATAGAAAAATAGGAATACAAGCAGCCTAAGAGGAGGGAAAAAATAGTAGTAAATTGTTAAAATACAACACATATATTATAAAAAAACAAAGCAAAAAGAGAAATTTACCTGCACAGGTGTCAAAGATGTAAAACCTAATTCCTCAATAGCAGCCTGAATACCAGTACTCAAATTTAAATCATCAAATGATTGTACTTCCATCACAGGTTTTAGAAGATATATTTACTGTCAACCTAAAAAGACAGCAAAAAATGCTAATATCCTAACACATAGAAATGTGCTTGAAAATTCAAATTAAACTCCTTTAATGACAACTTTCAAACATTACATGCTCAACAGATCATAAGAATAAGGTAGGTAGATCAAAGTTAAAGTAGAACCAGTAAGCTGTACCTAAAGTTGATTGACAAGAAATCAATCACAGAATAGCTTCCTGCAGCTTAGATACATGTTCATTTTAAAGTAGCTGTTCATTCAGAATGGTTACGGCATGGAATTATCTAATTTTGAGCATGCCAAATAACCTTAAGCAGAAATTATGTTTTTTAAAAAGAGTTTATTGCAAGTGTTTTATTGTTGGCATTTTCATACAGAACACCTGTGAACATAAAATTAATGAACAGAATTCTTATGAGCAATAAAAAATAATAAGAATAAACAGATAAATTATACTATACTGAAAATTTCCATGAAGAACAAAAACAATACTTTTTTGAAAAACACTTGTCTTCACCACCTTTTATCACTCGATTTGGTAGCCTAAAATCTCTCGCTGCTTTCATCTCATCATAGAGTTTACTAATAGCAAGGTAGAACAAGACAGTGAAATAGCATGGTTCAATTAATCATTTAAACTGTTAGTTTGGTCTTATTGGAATATACGAAGGTGGTAAAAGTCTTATACAGCCACTGACTCTTTTTATCAGCAAGGAGCTTTTCTGTCAGGTTTTAATGAAAGTTTCCCTCCACTGCAAATATCATCTGCACAAACGGTTCACATTGATGTTTTTAAACTGTTAGTTTGGTCTTATTGGAATATACGAGGGTGGTAAAAGCCTCATACAACCACTGACTCTTTTTATCCACAAGGAGCTTTTCTGTCAGGTTTTAATGAAATTTTCCCACCACTGCAAATATCATCTGCACAAACAGTTCACATTGATGTTTTTAATCATATTTTGTCAAACAATTTTTGACATGTGAAAGAAAAAGACTTGCTTTAGAATACTGTGTAAAATCTGTAAAACGATATTATTATCATTAAGTACAAGGTGTCTGAACTATCATGCTACCAGATTAGAACCATCATTACTACCAGTTCTGTTGCAAAACGTCAGCTATAGAATGTCACCAAATACATGTGCACAGATTCAGGTACTAATGTTGTATCATGTAACACTGAAAATTTGGTAATAAAGGTTCAAAAACAAGAATTATGACATTTAAGAAGCACAGCACTCTGGCTGGCCTACTGATGTTGATGAGGGATGCCTGCAAGAGCTTGTGGAAGATCAGTATGCAACCACTCGAGAGCTTGCTAAGGAGTTAGACATTAGGGCCGTGTCCATTAGTCACACTACACGTCACATAAACTTGACATACAAGTTCAATGGCTGAGTGTAGCATGAGCTAACCAAGCAGATAAGGATAGACATGTTGGGGCCTGCACTAATCCTGCTCAAATATAAACGTTAGAACAAAATTCTGGATTGGATCATCACTTGTGATGAAAAGTAGATTTATTTCAACAACACAGGCCCAAAGGGGGTTTGGGATGCACACGGTGAGCTGATCGGCAGGGTCACAAAGCACAATTTGACTATGAAAAAGATCACACTTTTTATATGGTGGGATTGCCATTGTATTATCCACAAAGATTACCTGGAAAAAGGTAAAACCTCTCAACAGTAACATGTTCAGCAAGATACTAGTCCGTGTTGATGCTGCTATGAAGTAAAAATGTTGAACTCAGCTCTGGCACATTAAGATAATTTTCGATCAAGATAATGCAAGACCACATGTGTTTGCATTCACCAGCTGGACTCTGTAGCTTCGAATGGGATTTTCGGCCATACCCACCATATAGTCCCAACATTGCTCCTTCGGAATTCTACCTTTTATCACATGTGCAGCTACATTTTGCCGGTGCTATCTTCTGTTCTGCACAAGACATCCAAAATAAGGTTGATCTGTTTTTGGACTTGCAGCCACCAAATGTCTGGGCCAAAGGCTTTGAAAAACTAACTAAACACTGGCAGAAAATCATAGATTTGGGTGGTGATTACTACCTGCAATACTGTTTTTTTTTGGGGGGGGGAATTTTCTTTACAAGATATTTGGAAGCACTACACAAAAGATCATGGTACATTTCATGCGGTCTCTAATAAGTCTTCTTCACTGTTTGAAATAATTACTGACAGAACATACATTATGATGATATTTTCAAAGATTATCTGCATCTTATTTATGACTTTTGAGCTTGATGATAAAGAAACAAGAAGATAATACAAATCATCAGTATGTAGTTACTAAGAATGAGATCAAGAAATATTTTAGGAATTTCAGCATCATGATTTAACCCAGATGAACTGCTGATATCAGCAACTTAAAGCATTTATGAAGCATAATGGGGTTTAATAAGATCCATTAATCAGCACCATCTCCTGTAGTAGAGTCTATGCCGTCTCCAAAGAATACTACCAGCAATTTCATGCCTCACTGCTCAGGAATCAAAAAGATTCACAGTTATTATTTAGGGCTGATCCATGACTTTTATTCTTTTGATGTATCTAATCTTATTATAATATCGATTAATATAGTAAGAGGAAAAACTAAATCCTCTAACAGAAACTGTGTATAGCACAGTGTAGCATGAATTCAAGGATGCAGTAAAAAGAATCCATAAATACTCATTTGTGAAAAAAGCAGCAAACAGTTGCGTTAAATTTATTAAGCTGACATGAAAATACAAACAACCCAAACAATACAAATACTTAATGAGATTAAGACTGGGCGGTACTTTTCCGTTTTGCCGGCACAAGCGATAAAGTTGCCAATAATGGTACAACTGATGCCAAACTGAATATTCTCACTGGTAACCTTTTACGCCTCATTTTCAAAACAAGTCGCAGCTTTTTCTTATCAGATTGATTGTTTCTTTCAATGCTGGCATATCATTACATAGAATTTTTATCAGATAGTTCAGTTTTATGTCTAAGGCCATTTTTGGTAATTAAGTCAATTGGGATGCAATCACAACGCTTACCCGAAGCCGAAAATATAGAAAAGGAAAGTCAAGGGTTCATCAATTTTAATGAGAATGCATTAGTGAAGTTAAGCACTGCAGTTTTACATAATTTCTGAGTAAGCTATTCTTACGCATTGAAATATTTCTTGCATTTAAACTTGTGTTCCAAATTAAGATTTAACTTGAAATTAATGTAGATAATTACTGAGAGCATTAGATTTTTGTAGAGTAGTTTAAGTGTGATGAGATCGCTTGGTGTCACGTGATATGAACCGGCGAATTAGTATGTTGAACCATGAAAGCATAGTAAATTCTTAAATTAATGTCTTTTTACAAATTTATTGTCTTCATTTATTGGCTTTTTATAAAGTTTTAAACGATATTAAAATGTTTATGCCTTCAAAAAGAGAATTCTTAGAACTAAAATTTTTTTAATATTTTTTATGTGTATACTGTTTGTTGTCGCCAATAAAGTCTGCTTGGCGAGATTTGCGCCGGCGAAACGGAAAAGTACCGACTGGGCATTAGCCATGGCAGAATAACATTTATTATTGTACATATGTCATTCAATAAAAAAATTGCAAAAAAATTGTTTTAATAAATCTATAATGAGAATGAAATACAATACTTATTTTTCAATGTAATCCCCCCTCAAGTTCTATGTACTTATGCTAGCACTGAAAAAGCTTTTCAATTCCACGTGCAAGAAATTCTCAAGGGTGTGCATGTAACCAGTTATATACTGCTGCCTGGACTTCCTCATCATCATCACACTTTGAGCAACAAAGAGCTTCTTTCAGTGGGTTGAAAATGCAATAATCAGAAGGCGCCAGATCTGGGAAATATAGGAGTTGGGGCAAGCAGATGAACTTCAGGTCTTTGATGGCATATAATGTGACTTTAGCAGCGTGTGACCTCGCACTGTCATGCAGTAACAGGATGCCATTGGACATTAGACCCTGACATTTTCACAAAATTGCTGGTCTCAGATTTTCATGCATTAAGTTTGAATATGTCGCACTGTTTACATTTTGACCTCTTGGCATGTCATGTTCAAGAACTGCTCCCGGAAAAAATATATTTATGGATACACCTTGGCAAAAATTGGCGATTTTTGGTGGTACATGGCTACGGAGTTTGTGCAATTCTTTGACTTGTTATTTTGGCTTGTGTAACAGCGATTTTTGGATAAAAAATCACCACTATAAGAAGACAAAATAACAAGTCAAAGAAATGCACAAACTCGGTATCCAAATACACATCGATCTATTTTCACTTCAAGAAACATCAGATAATTGCACAAACTTGGCATTGCACACTCCCTTGACTTTATCCATATACACATCCACTTATTTTCACTTAAAAAAGTATCAGAAAATTGTACAAACTAGGCACTGTGCACTCCCTTGACTTTGTCCATGTACACATCGTACTATATTCACTTAAAAAGTCAAATGAGCAGCCAGCAAAAAAATATATAATCTCAATAAACTACATTTTAAATCAAACAAAGAAGTAACATAAAACAGGAAATTCATCTTTGCACTACACAAAGGAAATATCCACTTACCTTATTTACGAATTAACATGTGTTCAGTCAAACAAAATTCCTTAACAGCACCCAAAAACTTCCTAAAATTATCTGAACTAGAATCTGTATACTGGCATCACCACATAAATTCATAAAATAAGAGTCAAAAATATCCTCCGTACGCCATTATCGTCCGACCATATGCATTTCCTTCCTACAAACAGGACACTTAATAATGGCTACTAAGTAAACCTTCATTTACATACCAGTACTCTTTCCCCTTTCTTTCCAAATTGTACAGAAACTTCAAATTAATCTTACCACATTCAGCCATTTTACCGCCTAAACCACAAAACAAGCAATATACTTCCTAACCAACACACATCAAAGCCCTTACAAATTTACTGCAATCATGCAACAGATTACATCGTAATAGGATTTCCATATCATTCAAC